GCAGTTCTAAGATTCTCAAAATTTCGAGAATTTTGAGAATTTTAAAACTGCCGTTTATAATTTAAGCAATAAAATAAATGGTTTCGTTTATAATTTCTAAAGACATACTTAAGTCAAAAAAATAAAAGCGTGTTACCAAACAATGGCTCACCCAAGGAAGAGCAAGGGGCTTGGGCCCCCACCAAAACAAATTCTGGATACATTAAGAAATCAATCTTTTAAATGTTTTCTTAAAAATTCACCTGCGAACTAGAGACTGTAATCTACAAGCGGAATTACCATCTAGTGAAGCCATTTCTTTGCTGAATATTTTGAAAACGCCAAAATTGCGAAACCGAATGCTCTGAAACCTTGCAAATGCTTTACGGTTATCGAAAGGAGGGTAAATCAAAATTTATCCGTTTATCCTTAAAACTGATCTCAAAATTTTGCCAAATCAGTCATATCTAAAATGTGTAAAATATGATGAGTCTCTATACTTGTGATTTATGATTCCATTCATATTTTTTAGAATTGCTTATACAGGTGATTCAAAAAAGTTAATAAATGAATACATTTATTTTTGTGATCAAATCAGAAACTGCAAAACCGAATGCTTTAAAATCTTGCAGACGTTTTAAAGTTGTCCTAAACATGGTAAATTTCTAATCAATGTATATCTGTGCCCTCCAAAAAATTGATAATGTCATTTAAAAATTTTGCCGAATAAATCCTATCGAAAATGTGCAAAATATGATGAGTCTATACATGTGATCTATCGTTATAATCATATTTTTTAGAATTGCTTATGCAGGGTGACTAAAAAAATAAATACGTTAATTTATTTTATTGATTAAATCCATTTTCCCGAAATTTTGGGAATACAATACTGTTATTATTATTACACTGCATCTATCCAAATTGATATAATTGTCCTTTCAAAAATTCATTTGAAACATACGCGTAGCACGCTTCTTCACATTTACTTTAACATTATATACTTATCTTTATTTTATATGTATTTTATATACTTTTCTCATAAAAAATAAATAAAATTTGCAAAATCAAATTTTGTAATTTTTCCAAAAAACTGCGTATGTTCTATTGTAGGTACTTCAGGGGCGGGGGAAGTTATATGGAAATAACCTTCCACCATTTGTGTAAATTTACATTCTTTCTACATTGCAAACGGATTTTTTTAAGCCAAATGATACTAAAATCGGAATTTGACCTTTGGAATACGAATTATAAAGATAATACAAATTATGCGCTGTCTGCAATGGATTTGTACACTGATAAAAATAATGAAACATGTTTTCTCAATAACATTAATTTTTTTTTTTCTTAAGAAAGAATTGGACAAAACTGATTGAACGGTTGACTGTACATACATGGCGATATTTCAGTTACATGTGAAAAATGTTAAATAAATTAAGTGCTGATAGAAGAGTAGATATAACAATTTCCAACAATCTTTTTGTCTAAAATGATTTTAGAATTATTATTATTATTGTTAATGTTGAATTTGTGAATGTAATTTTGAGTTGTATTTTCACATTTAATCAATATAGTTTATTTTCTACTATATTTTCTTACTCACTTTTGACCCCCACAAAAATTATTTCTGGGTGCGCCACTGTTATGAAAACACAAACAGCGTTACATGTCGAGACATACTTTTCTATATATAAGTAAGTATTTATTTTTACAAATTTTTGAGATGATTTTTTTCTAGAGGGGATGAATAAATACATTTTATGATAAAGTCAAAATAAAAAAGCAGTATGTAGGGTAAACTGTAAAATTTAAATCTTAATTTAAAAATATGGAATATATCATTAACCAACATACTTCATAACCTAATGATATATTTAACCGCAGCAAAGAATGTATGATATTCCGTAAAATTATTACATATCTACATCTTTAGTAAAAGTCCTAACATCCATGTGATACTGGTTGTGGTTTAAAGGTGAAGAAAGTTCTGTGTAAATAGTTTATGAGATCTTTCTATATCCAATATGCCCAAAAAATTTGCATTGTGTTGCATATAACGCGGTTTGTTTTTTGTATACAAGAATTTAAGTCCACCTACCTATTTATTGCGGCTTTTTGTCATAGTAAACTCTTATTTCTATTTTGTTGGATAATGACAATAACTCTTCACAGGATTTCATTTTTTTTTCGAAGTAAGTTTCTCATCTTTATCTAAGATGTTCGATGAATAGTAAGTAACCAATAAGGCATTTTGTAACCCTGAAAGTGGCTGTTGGTCGCAACTAATCAGAAATAAACCTTTTAAATCTTCAGGTAGGTACCAGACGGTTCTCCAATAAAGTTTTTTTCCTCAAGTTAACGGTCGCATTAGTGAATTTGTAGTAAACAAGGTGAGTCACTAGGCGCTCGATCCTCGATATCCAATAATAATTAATCAAAATAAAGAAAAAAGGCAGACACTAAAATTGTACGGTTCTTTGAGCAGGATCCATAAAAATCATTTTAACTATGCAGAGTGATCTGTTTTTGACACATAACACACAGTATAGTCTTTTTTCAATAGAACACCTGCATATCTTAACATATTCTCATTGGCCTCTTCCTAGACTTTCAAACCATAATAATAATAATACCTACATATACCTATTTTTGAAATTCCGATGCGACAATACAAGGTTTCACAAAGAATTACACTAGGATTGTTTTTAATATTTGTGTTACAATATTTTATGGAGAAATAAAGAAAAGAACACGCTTTGTTGTGCTGTAGATTAAATTGGCCCTGAATAAATGTGCAAAAAAAATAACTTATTTTAATGATCAACTGAAAAATTTCTCACCCTAATCAAATTGATATATGTATTATGTGTCCTTGCTAAAATAACGTCATCTCAAAATTTTGGAATGGAAAAACTCACTTAAAACATATCGCTAGTATGCTTCTTTACCTTGACTTTAACATTACACACATCATTTTAAGTTATAGAGGTTATCATAAAGAAAATAAAATTCGCATCGCAAATTTTTCGAAAATGATAGGTATAGTGAACCAAGAGTTATAAGGTTATATGGCCATCATAAAATCATCCCATTGTGTCGAAGTTAAGTTGTTTACAATAGAAAAGGTTTTAGGGTCGTAAATAACGCGTCCACTGCAGCTCGACCGGCTCTTGTGGTTTCGTTCAGGGGCGGCTTTCACTAAATATGAAAATCCACCACTCCACTATTTCTTTACTACCTGCAGCCGCTGAGGGTTCCGAAATAACCACTCGCTTTGAAAGCCGGCCCTGTTAAATATGAGCAAGAAATGTTTAGAAGATGATTTATTGCCAACTGGTAAGCTTAGTGCGAACCATACAAAGGGGGTATTTATTTGCAGTCAACTACTTTTATGATGGCCATATAACCTTATAGGTCTTGGTTCACTATATATTGTACTGTAACTTCAAAGACAAGGGATGTTTCACCTAAATAACCTTATATTAGCTTCTTAATTGTTTAATTTGCAATGGACACAAACTAAATAAAAATAAAAGAAGAGTTTTTTTTAGTTTAGTTTTTTTACGGAATAGGTAGAATTTTATTTTTTGTTTTATAAATTTACAAAAAGTACAAAAAGAAATGATATTCGCAGCTTTTACTAACATAAATACATACCGCGTGTAAAATTATTTTTGAAAGATAGGGATTTTACACATAAAACAAAAACTTGAAAATATTGGCTTCCCTACTTAATATGGTTGTCATAAAAAAATAAAATTCGCAAAATCGAAACTTCTAATTTTTCGAAACAGCTGCATTTGATGTAAGGTACTTTATGGGCGAGGAAAGTTCTGTCGACATAATCTTCGACCATTTTTTTTTTATTTCAATACCATAAGGTGTTATAAAATAAATCAAAAAGGATTTAGATGGAGTTTTCAATTCTCTACAATTTTTGCTTTAAAATCATTAAGGGAACCAATATTTTCAAATTTCTGTTTTTACACATAAAATCCATATGTTCCAAAAACGATTCTACACCCGGTACCTTGACTAGTTAGTATATACCAAGACTTTGGTACATACTTACCTAAATTTACAGACGTTGTGACATTGCATTTGTTAGTAAAAGTAGCCACTTTTAGATATGTCTAGTCCAGTTTAATACTATTCAGTGTTATGACTGAAACCGAGCGTAACTCATAGGTGCACACACTGACAAGTTAATATCCTCAGTCAACTGTATCGTATAGTTATGCACTTTCTTGGTTCATTTGCTTTAATTTAAGTTTATGCTGAAAGTGTACAAGCCTGTATTTGCATTGTTGATATTGGTAAATCTTCTAAACATGCTGTAGTCTAACAACTGGGTATGAAGAACATTGTTTTTGCTTGAGCGGTATTTTCTATAAATCTAAGTGATCAATGGTCTATGATGCACTGTGGAATTTATAATATTTACCCGAACTTCGTTAATGTTAGTAAACAGAAATTTAACATGCAAAGTGGATTTTATAAAAAGTCACTATTAGATATAAATAGTTTAAATGGATTTTGTTTTTTTTTTTTTCAACAATTGAGAGTGAAATTTAACTAAAAGATCTTGAAAGTGAAACATCAACATCAAATATATAATATATTTAAATTTTTTGTACTAACCGTATGCCCATCTAAAACTGTTAATAAAATTGTATACATTTTATCGATTATATTAATTAAAATGAAATATTACGTTTCAACTGAGGGTTGAAAATCATTCAAACCAAACAATTATTTGCTACATAATAGGTATAGAATTAAAAAAAAAATGTTAGCTATTCGAGAATGCACCTACATTAGTGATTAACGAAAATGAATCATAAAAGTATGTAAAATGACTTTGTTCTTCGTCGGTTGCTTCAAAGAATATCGTGTATCGACCAGACTTCGTTTTTCAACGGCACTCACGGGGCACGAGCAAACCACGCAAACACACCATTGGCTGTGGCGCATGGTCTGACATAGGACCACATCCCGCGGCAGATAAATGGCAAGCGCAGACTTGGGTTATTCATTTTGCGGTGTGACTCGTCGCACGCGAATTTTATTATTAAAATAAACAACAGATAGTGCTGTGCTAAAGTGATTGTGATATTTCCGGATTATTTTAACTTACTTTAGGTAAGATTTTTGTTTACAAAAAAAAAAAATGCAACGTATTTGGCTAAAGGAAATTACCCACCTACGGCAATTTTTTAAATATACAACATCGCAAAAATCGCTAAATTATTCATTTACATTTCTTTTAATTTATTCAGAAAAAAAAAACAATTACCGGAAAACAGTTTCTTTTCATAATTGTTGTAACCGGATTGCGTCACTAATTCTCTATTTGTTTACATTTAGCTGCCACTATTTTTCCTAATGGCTACGCCACTGTTTTTATGAGAAAATAAAATGCAGCACAAAGAAATATTTCATGCGTTTACAATAAAACGTTTCTAATTAATTTTTAAGTTTGTATAACTAATACGTAAATATTTTCGTAATTACTTGGTTTTATTAACCGTGTATATAGACCAAGGTAGAATTTTTGACGCTGTAAAATTCCTCGTGAAAATTTATGTTAGATTTTTTTTTCAGTAATTAAGCAGGTAAAACGAATGTATTAGCCATATGAAATAATGATAAAAATATTGAAGTTTATGACTTTTATCAAAACTGTGTTTGCCTTAACATTTTTTTAAACAGGCACTCATATTGGTAGATTCTGACGTCAAATAACATTGTGGAAAACATCATTTATTCTGAACGGGAGTAAAATTATTGATTTGGGAAGACGTACATACGAGTGTCACATAAAAGCCTAAACCAAATAATACGCCAACACTAACTGCGTGTTACCTAATCATAGAACAAAAAGTAAAATTTTAAAGACTTTACATAAGCATAAAGTTACAAAAAACCCAACTATGACATTTATTTAATCTGTGCTGTGTCTCATCAAACAATACCAGGAAAATGACAATAACTATGTATTTATATATTTACTTAAAAAAAAAAATAACTCAATATTTACGCTAGAAACATTTCACATGCTATATAATTCACAAATCTCAAAAATTAAACAATTTACATGTACCGATTCGCAATCTAACAATTTCTTGTCGTGGCAGCAACACCAAAACAGTTTTAACAATATACCCAATTATGTACTGTATTTCCCGTTCACGACCTACATAATAGCCACGGCACTTGTTGCATAAAAAGTAACACAGAATTTTTGGGAACAGTTTTTATACCAAATAAATCATCAGCTCTTTTACTCATGCATGTTTGTTTCGACTAAGTAATTGTTTTGTGACGTTTTAATAAGAAAAAAAAAAAAAACGTAGAATGTAGATGCCGTGTGTATTTTCATGGGAAAATTTAAAGTTCTGGACGTAATAGTTTCACTTGCAGAACACTATTTTAGTAGACATAATCAAATTGAAATCATTTTTAACGTTTAAAACTGACTCGAAGTAATGAATCGAATGGAGATGCAACGGTTTTTCGAAAAAAAAGCTCTCAGTCATGCACCAGTTCTGACATTAATCACACGAAGATTTGCACGACTAATAAGAGCCAGGCACAACATTAACAATGAGTTAATTTATTCTGAAAAATTGTCTGCTTTAAGTTTGTTTTCTAGATGAAGCTTCAAATAAACACTTTTACATAGTAAATTCAACTTTCAGAAAATTTGTCTTATAAATATTTGCTCTTATTTTCGCGGAAAACAGAACTTCAGATGAATTTTAATTTAGAGAAAATGAATCCTCGCGCTAATCTGAGGTAGTAAACCTGTTCTTTTTTTTAAGCAACAAGCATATATTATGAATTATGACCATAATAGGTAGGTATTTCTATTTAGATAATAATTGATAGTTTTTGCACGTTACGGTAAAAATAAAGTATAACCATTGAGTTAACCAAATGTCATCTGTTAAAGTTTATTCAGCTGTAAAGAAAATACATAAACACATCATTACATTTAAATAATTTTGCAACTATAAAAATTTGCTGTTTCTTATTACAAAGTAAATTTAATTGATTCTCTCCATATTCTACATTTTTTTTTTAGTTCGCGTCGCATTGTTTCACTTATTGTTCTGATATAATAGTTTGTGTTGTGTTAGGCGCCATAGAACTAATATATAAACAGTCGTTAAGTACATTACACTGTATAGAGGTTGTTCAGCAAATATGTATGACATAAATCCCTTTGGAGGCAATACTTTACTCTATGCAAAAAAATCTTTTTGCTTGTGGCAGTAAACTCATTTCTGCCAGTCATTTCATCTTATTTTAAGTAATATTAAGTGTTATATGTTATATTGTTATGTAATGTATAAATAGAGGAGTAGCCAATAGCTAAAATAATGTAAACATTTTTTGGGTGTATATTTATTTGCAGATATCCATGATTCTGAACAAATTTATAAGTAACCAAGATAATTAAACATTGAATTCCCCACAGAAAAAAGATCTACAAAACACAGTTACGTAATTGTTATACAAATTTATTCACTATGAAGCGATTTTAAATATGGTCAAATTACTATTATTTGAAATGATTTTTCAGTTGATTTATTTAATTTTTACGACTTTTCCTCAAGAAGGATCGTAGCATTAAATTAAATGAGAGAAAAGTGAAACATTTTTAACAAGCAATTGTAAACAATACATATTAATCTTTTACATTCTGCTTTATGTGGCATAAATTGAAAAAATCTCTTAGCAATGTTGTACAAAAATCGTTCCATACAATACCTACTCCCTCAATTTTCAAACCGATTTCGTCGGAAATCATTCAAAGTAGAATACAAAAGTGTTTTTTTTTGCAAAGAACATAATAACCTTCCTTGTTCCGGAAATAATGACATTGAGTTAAACCGAAGTTCTGATATACTTATATAGCGAATATTGTTTCTATCTGAGGATTGACTGTCGCGTTTCAGGACAAATTTTTTTGTAAGTACCTGTTTCACAAAATAAGCTCGGACAAATAATTTTAATTTAAAATGACATTTTATTTTTGCTGCTTCAGAAATTATCTTGAAATGTGGTTACCAAACTGTTTTTTTTTTCTTGAACATTTTTAGAAAAACTTTCTTTAATCAATAAAATAAAAATCAGAAAACATTTTTCGCGACGTACATGTGTGTGTGTTTTTTCAAGAACATATTTTTCTTTTGAAACATTAAATCTAGTTTGACGAAACGACGACTTTAGCAGGCAGCCACAAAGGATTAAATTACCTAGTGGATCCTTTTAATTGAAAGAAGATAGAGATAACCTTGCCAATGTCGGCACCGTGTCATTATGAGTAATCAATGTCAAAAATGTTCTCTAATCTAATCATCATACCATTTTTGTTATTGATATGAACTTTGTGTGAACTATGAAGTAAATTACATAATGCAGTTTCTTAAACCGATAATGTATATCTAGTTATTTTTGTTTGTTTTTAAGGAGACAGCATGGTACCCGTTCGAATCAAAAATAACTCTCAAGATTCATTCACCGTTCTTAGATTGTAGTATTTATAAATTATTGCTTTACATGACGATTGTCGCACAGTTATTCGAGTCTTGCTTTACAAAAATTTAACAAACATCGATGTTTTTTTTTTGTTGTGTTAAACCGAAAATCTTAGATGTCAAATTGTTTCAGGATTTAATTTATTTATCAAAATGCCTGCCAGAGTACCCGATACACAAACTAACCAATTAAATGGAATTTCCGAGGATATCGTCATCGCCGGGATAGCCGGACGTTTGCCAGAAAGCGACAACATCGAAGAATTCAAGCAACAATTATTCGCTGGTGTCGATCTGGTAACAGACGACGAACGACGATGGCCTTCTGGGCTTTATACACTACCGACGCGGACAGGCAAATTAAAAGATCTGTCACGATTCGATGCAACATTTTTCGGCGTTCACGCTAAACAAGCTAATGTAATGGATCCTCAGTTGCGATTGCTACTTGAGCTCACATATGAAGCTATCGTCGATGCTGGAATTAACCCTAGCGATGCACGAGGTTCTAGAACCGGCGTGTACATTGGGGTGTCCGACAGTGAGTCATCAGAATATTGGACCCGAGATCCAGATCAGGTGAACGGTTATGGATTGACCGGTTGTTGCAGAGCAATGTTCGCTAACCGGGTGTCGTATACTTTTGATTTTAACGGACCCAGCTACGCCATAGACACGGCTTGTTCGAGTAGTTTAGTTGGTTTACAACAAGCCATTCTCGCAATGAAGACGGGACAATGCGATGCCGCTATTGTTGGAGGAGTTAATTTACTTTTAAAACCTACATCCTCTTTACAGTTTCATAGACTTGGCATGCTAAGTCCCGAAGGCATGTGTAAGGCGTTCGACTCGTCCGGAAACGGATACGTGAGAGCAGAGGCGGCTGTTGTTGTTTATCTTCGAAAAGCGAGTGTAGCCAACCGTATCTACGCCTCTGTTCTTGGGGCAAAAGTAAACACCGACGGATATAAAGAACAAGGAATCACCTTTCCCGCCGGAGAGATGCAAAACAGACTTATTCGAGAAACGTATCTAGAAGCCGGAGTTGATCCTTCAGAAGTGTCTTATGTTGAAGCTCACGGTACCGGCACCAAAGTGGGAGATCCACAAGAAGTTAATTCTATCGCAGATTTTTTCTGTAAGAATCGCAAAGAGCCTCTACTTATCGGATCGGTAAAAAGTAACATGGGACACTCGGAACCGGCTTCAGGACTGTGTTCTCTGGCTAAGATCGTAATTGCCATGGAGACTGGCACAATTCCAGCAAATTTGCATTTCAAGTCTCCCAATCAAGATATTCCAGCGCTAAGCGATGGTAGACTTAAGGTTGTTTCTAGAAATGAGCCATGGAAAGGTGGAATTATTGGCATTAATTCTTTTGGTTTCGGTGGGGCCAACGCTCATATAATTCTAAAATCCAATCCCAAACCCAAAACTTCGTGGCCTGCGGATCCCTTGCCTCGTGTCGTAGGAGTTTCTGGACGTACCCAAGAGGCAGTTAATAATTTCCTTGATTATATTGAAGAATACGGTGACGACGAAGAATTTTTAGCCCTCGTGGATCAAATTCACCAAAATAATATTAACGGTCACCCATATCGAGGATATGCTGTGCTTGACGACACGCCGATTCGTGAAGTCGCAGAAGTACCGAGCGAAAAAAGGCCCATCTGGTTTATTTTCAGCGGTATGGGCTCACAGTGGGCGGGTATGGCCAAGGAACTTATGCAGTTAGAAATATTTAGAAGTTCGATAAAAAAGAGTGCTGAAGTTTTGAAACCACATGGGGTGAATTTGGAAGAAATCATAGTCAGTGGAACGGATTCCGCTTTCGACAATGTCTTAAACTCTTTTGTTTCGATAGCCAGTATGCAAGTAGCTCTTACTGACATTTTAAAAACTATGCAAATTGAACCAGAGGGTATCGTTGGTCATTCCGTCGGTGAAGTAGGATGTGCCTACGCTGATGGAACGCTTACTGCGGAACAAGCGGTTCTTGCTGCTTACTGCAGAGGAAGAGCTATCCTTGAAAGTAATCTAATTGAAGGTGCAATGGCTGCTGTTGGACTGTCCTGGGAAGAAGCTAAGAAAAGATGTCCTCCAGATGTCTTCCCAGCATGTCATAACAGTGCAGACAATGTGACGGTTTCTGGTCCGACTGCAGCGGTAGATAAATTTGTACAACAGCTGACTTCCGAAAATATTTTTGCAAGAAAAGTGAAAAGTTCCAATATTGCCTTCCACAGCAAGTATATTGCCGAAGCTGGACCCAAACTACGCAAAGCTTTAGACGCTATAATACCTACCCCAAAACCACGCACAGCCAGATGGATCTCCTCTTCCATTCCTGAATCGGCATGGGGAACGCCACTTGCACAACAAAGTTCTGCAGCTTATCATGTTAACAATCTTTTATCTCCTGTACTGTTCTATGAGGCTCTTAAACATATACCAGAAAACGCTATTGCTATTGAAATTGCCCCTACTGGCCTTCTTCAAGCAATCCTTAAGCGAGCGCTAGGACCAAATTCTACAAATATTAGTCTAGTGAAAAGAGGACATGAAAATAACATCGTATTTTTAACATCAGCATTAGGAAAGTAAGTTGGTATTTGGTTTGCTGTTTTCAACAAATTTCATGCAATTTTTTTACAGAATTTATAACGCTGGTGCTCAACCTAAACTTGGGCATCTTTATCATCCGGTCAGTTTTCCAGTTGGCAAGGGTACGCCTATGATTGCGTCAATGATCAAATGGGATCATTCCATGGAGTGGGCCGTTGCCAATTTCGCCGATAAGAGTTCCAGATCAGGTGAACTAGTCGTAGAAGTAGACCTAAGCAAAGAAAGCGACGAGTACTTAGTTGGACACACAATAGACGGGAGAGTTCTTTTCCCCGCTACGGGATATTTGGTAAGAAAAATAACAAACATCAACGTGTATCAGTAGTTAAATACATAATTTTTTTAGACTCTTGTTTGGAAAACTTACGCAAAACTGAAAAACACAGACTACGAACAACTGCCTGTTGTACTCGAAAATGTTCAGTTCCATCGTGCCACAATTATGCCAAAGGACGGTTCCGTCAAATTCTTAATTAACATTTTTGAAGGAACTGGTGATTTTGAATTATGTGAAAGTGGATCTGTTGCCGTTTCTGGTAGAATTTACGTTCCAGAAGATGTCTCAAAAGAAGTATTGAACTTACCTAAGTCAAGTGTACAAGTTGCAAAAGAACTATTACCGTTAAATAGCCAAGATATTTATAAAGAATTAAGGTTAAGAGGATACGATTATGAAGGTATTTTCCGGGGTATTCTTCAGTCAGATAATAGGGGTATAAATGGTAAATTGGAATGGAATAACAACTGGATAAGTTACATAGACACCATGCTGCAATTCTCCATCCTCGGTCAGAACACCCGCGAACTGTATCTTCCTACAAGACTTCAAAAAGCTGTTATCAATCCCAAGGAACATCTGCAATATGTCAACGAACTACCAGAGGCGGCACATCCTGACGTGCACATGTACAGAGAAATTGGTGTAATCAAGTCTGGCGGTATCGAACTTAGGGGAATGAAGGCTAGTTTGGCACCGCGTCGCCAGCAGACACAAGCATCGCCTAAACTGGAAAAATATCAATTTGTGCCTTTCGAAAATACCATTTCGCTTAATGAAAATGATGAAAGGGCCCGAGCGCATGCATTAACTGTTCTTTCGCAGACTGTACTGGAAAATAGTTCTGGTGCACTTAAACTTAAGGTAACAGAAGTTGCTACTGGCCGTCCGCTTGAGTCACTACTAACACCTGCTATCAAAAATATCATGGAACGAGAACCTATGTTGTCTGTAGAGGCTACCGTAGTAACTTCAGAATCCATCGACAATTCCTCTTTGGAAACCAGTGGAATAAAACATGTTCAAAAAGATATCAACTCGAGTACCATCGACCAAAATGTACATTTGGTAGTTCTAGTGGATGTTTTGACGCACGGTAGAATCACGCTGTTAGAAAGTGCAGCAAGTTCCTTAAAGGAGGGTGGATTTATTCTGTTAGAAGAACCAAAAGGTGCAATTGATTCCACCAAATTAGTTTCCTCGGGACTTGTTATCGTGAGCACTCAAGTAACCCCAACAAAAATATATGTATTATTGAGAAAACCAGCAGAAATTCCTATAAATGCGATTGTCATTAAGGTTACGGAAAACGACTTTGCTTGGGTCGAACGATTGAAAGATGCCATGAAGAAGAGTGAAACCGATGGAAACAAAATTTATTTATATGTCCAATCCGAAGAGCTTACAGGATTAGTCGGAATGGTGAACTGTTTAAAACAAGAACCAGGTGGTGCAGGAATCAGAGCTGTGTTTATTCAAGACGTGAATGCCCCTGCATTTTCGCTAAATCAGTATTCACAACAACTTAGAAAAGATCTTGTACATAACGTCTTAAAAAAGAAAGTTTGGGGTTCATTTAGACATATACTGCTCGACCACGACAGCGATAGCGGGAAGTTACAAGTTGAACATGCATACATTAACACTCTAATTCGTGGTGATTTGTCAAGTCTTCGTTGGATAGAGGGTCCATTAACCTATTATAAGTAAGTAAAGTGTAAAAATCCCACAAGAACAATAATGACATTGTTTTTTTTTTGAAGGGGTAGTGATGCAAGTACCGAATTGTGTCACGTATACTATGCACCACTTAACTTTAGAGACATAATGCTAGCTACAGGAAAATTACCACCAGATGCACTGCCTGGAGATTTAGCGGGGCAAGACTGCATTCTTGGTTTAGAATTTTCAGGACGTGATAGTAAAGGCAGACGCGTAATGGGAATGGTTGCCGCGAAAAGTTTGGCCACTACTGTTTTGGCGGACGGTGGTTTCTTGTGGGAAGTGCCCGAGAAATGGAGTTTAGAAGAAGCCGCAACCGTCCCTGTGGTTTACGGAACGGTAAAATTCTTATCTTTTGTTGTTATAATTTATAATACCTACTTGAAATTTTCAGAGTTATTACGCTCTAGTTGTAAGAGGTCGCATGAAACCAGGAGAATCTATACTCATTCACGCCGGCACCGGAGGCGTAGGTCAAGCTTCTATTGCTATTGCTCTTCATATGGGTTGCAAAGTTTTTACAACCGTTGGCAGTCAAGCGAAACGCGACTTCTTAAAAAAGACATTCCCGCAACTCACCGATGATTGCATTGGTAATTCACGTGATACTAGTTTCGAACAACTCGTATTGTCTCAGACCAAGGGGCGTGGTGTTGATTTAGTCCTTAATTCCCTGGCAAATGAACAACTGCAAGCTTCTGTTCGTTGTCTTGCGATTGGTGGTCGCTTCTTGGAAATAGGAAAAGTAGATCTTTCTAATAATTCTCCACTAGGAATGAGTGTGTTCTTAAAAAATACCACTTTCCACGGCATCCTTCTGGATGCCTTGTTTGACAGTAACAGCCCTGATAAGAAAGACGTTTGGCGTTTAGTAACCGAGGGTATAGCAAGTGGTGCTGTCAGACCTCTTCCAAGCACTGTGTTCAGTGAAAATCAAGCCGAACAGGCCTTCCGCTTTATGGCATCCGGTAAACACATCGGTAAAGTAGTCCTGAGAATTCGGAACGAAGAAAGTCGCAAAGCGCAGCGTCCAAAAGCAAAAACCGTAACTGCTATACCCCGTACATATATGGATCCTGACAAGAGCTACATACTTGTTGGTGGCTTGGGTGGGTTCGGTTTAGAATTAGCGAACTGGTTGATTCAGCGCGGAGCGAAAAAGATTGTTTTAACATCAAGAAGCGGAATTAAAACTGGTTATCAGTCCCTCTGTGTTCGACGATGGAGAGAATCTGGAATCAACGTATTAATTTCCACCGCCGATGCAACCAGCGACAAAGGAGCTAGAAGACTGTTGGACGAAGCTAATAATCTTGGACCCGTCGGAGGAATTTTCAATTTGGCAGCAGTGTTGCGCGACGCGATGATGGAAAATCAAAGTGAAGCTGATTTCAAGACTGTGTGCAACCCTAAGATCAATGCCAGCAAACAGCTGGATGTGGCTTCTAGAGCCCTCGCCCCTCACTTGGACTATTTCGTTAGTTTTTCGTCGGTATCGTGTGGTCGGGGCAACGCCGGTCAATCAAATTACGGTTTGGCCAATTCAGCGATGGAACGTATTTGCGAAGCGCGTCAAGAAGCCGGTCTACCAGGAGTAGCGATCCAGTGGGGAGCCATCGGTGATGTTGGTTTAATTTTGGAAACAATGGGCGGAAATGACACTGAGGTCGGTGGAACACTACCGCAGAGAATGTCCTCTTGCCTTGCGACAATGGATACTTTCCTTCAACAGCCACATGCAGTTGTCGCTAGCATGGTGTTGGCAGAAAAGCACAAAGGAAGCGCGGATGCAAATCAAGTTAGTTTAATAGATGCAGTCGGCAATATTCTTGGCATCAAAGATCCGTCTACGGTCGCAGGAGCTACATCTCTCGCTGATTTGGGAATGGACTCTTTAATGGGCGCAGAAATTAAGCAAACTCTTGAACGCAATTACGACCTGGTGTTAAGTGCGCAGGAAATTCGAGCGCTCACTTTTGCTCGATTAATTGAACTTGGAAGCGGTGGAAGTGGAAGCTCTGCCCTAGCTGAAACCGTACCTTCTGCTAAAGATGAACAAGTACAATTTGACACGAATATTGAGATTATGCCGTCCAAGTGTTTGATCCAGATGCAAAGTAAAGTAACAGATAATAAAAAAACACCAGTTTTCGTTCTTCATCCTATTGAGGGGGTTGTCAACGCATTACAAACTTTGGCCGATAATATCGAAGCACCTGTATACGGCTTGCAATGTACTGAAAATACTCCTCTAACAAGTATAGGAGATCTGGCGCAATATTACAACGGTCAGATTAAAACAGTTCAATCCAAGGGACCCTACACGCTGATTGGATATTCGTTTGGGGCTTGTGTTGCTTTCGAAATGGGAGTTCAGCTAGAACACCGTGGCGAAACCGTGAATCTTTTGTTAATAGATGGATCACCATCTTATGTTGCGACACATACCGGAAAAGCTAGAAACACAAAAAGCCTACAGGGAAATACAGCAGCTGAACAAAGCGAAGCTTTAGTCTACTTCGCCATGCAATTCAAAGAAATCGATCAACAAAAGGTAAAAGAACAATGATGAAATCTAATGTGATATATCATGCGCTAATCGTTTTTAGATTGTTTCTGAATTAATGGCACTAAAAACATGGGAAGACAGGGTATCCAGAGCCACACAAATTGTAGCTGGTTCTGCGCCATATCCAAACGATCAACTGGCGGCTGCAGCTGCTAGTTTTTACTACAAATTAGTGGCAGCTGACAAGTACAAACCAAATTCTTACTTCAAAGGCCCTGTTACTCTTATTAGAGCAATTGATAATTATGTACAAATGGGCGACGACTATGGTCTTTCTGAGGTGAGTTGTGTTAGCAGGTTTCAGAATAGAAATTTTAAAACATCTATTCCAGGTTTGCAAGGGCAAGGTGAAGGTGCAGCCGCTTGAAGGTAACCATAGATCTATTTTAGCTGGAACCAGTGTACAGAAAATCGCGAACATTTTACACAGTGAAGTTATAAGCGTGTAATTATATTCCATGACAAATACTGTAATTTTGTAGCGTTTTATTCCATGTTTTGGTCACACAATTGTAGATATGTTAATATAATTTAATGTTTGTAAATATTAGTTATAACTATACTTAAGTCTTTTTATGTTGTGTATTTTATTATAATTTATTTTTTATGATTGCGAAAGGTTTTGTAACTTATTTTATAAATTCAATTTATTTTTGTATTTTTGGGGAAACCAAAGAGTTAGATTTTTTAGTTTTTTAACCACTTCACTTAGTTCTGGTAATGGCACAAAGTTTGTTGCTTGACTGTTGTGACGCTATCAGGGCTTTTTTATTCTCACTGGTGTAAATATTAAACTAATAAAAAATCATAAGAAAAAGAACCTATTTTCTAAACACCTTTAATAACATCAGTACATAAAAAATCATTTAAACATAAAACAACTAAATGCATATCATATTAACAAAATAATTACTTTAATCTAAGTAACATAGCTTATTAAACACAGTTTACAATTATTCAAATATATTATGGAATGGCTCACGAATCACACTGATTAAAAATTTATAAATGCCTGTAATACTACTTTGTTGTAGGATCACTAATAGATTTTGAGGCGTCGCATGTAAACGATACAGTTATAGCATAGCGAACACCAGATGACACTCTTTCCACAAAATGAGGATTTTCTGCACCTGATGTAAACATCAACACTCTTCCTTTACGAGGATCCACTGTTGTATTTTTGTTTGGTTTGTCAGGATCATCAACAAACACAAATCTACCTCCTTTAAAGTCAATATTAAAGTCTGTCAGATATAATAGTGATGTGTAATGAAATGATTCATAAGTTTCCTACAAGAACACAGATTAAAATTACTACATATGTGTTTGCAGAAAAAAATACTTTATCAACGTGGACATGCCAATATTCATCATGTGGAGTTTGCGGTTCTAAATTGGACAACTTTGAAAAAAATGTGGGGTGTGCTAAATACAAGCTATCACTGTTAATTCCAAAATTTTCAGCTATTGCATGTTGAATTTTGTTTTTGACCATTTTATATATCATAAGATCAGCTGCTGTAATAAGCTGTTCAGTATTTTCTAATGTGTATATATTAACAAATTTTTCTCCATAAGATAGGGCTCCTGAGTGCAAGTCTAGTATTGAAGCACCACCTGATGAGCCTCCTAAACTTATACCTAAATTCCTGTGCGTTAGTTAAACAAAAGAACGCAAAAATACTGTTACCTTTCTTAGCTAAATTTAACAAAGTTTCAGCTTCGTTAAATGTTACCAATTTATCCGAAACGTATCTTCCACATTTTGCTGGTACACATCCTGGAAACTGTTGAATTTCATTTATATATTCAGGATCACAATCTACTGCTTGTCCTCTTGTAACTACAATATCTTTTTGTTTTGCCAAAGATATCTCTTTGCCATCCTTTGATGTATACCACACATAAATAAGAACACCCAAAATTATAATTCCGCGACTCCATATTCTTTGGCCTGAAATTTTTGGTAATGGTCCATATCGCCTTAAATAAAATTAGTATTTTTAAAAGTTCTACTTGGTAGGGTAAATCATACAAGTTGTTTGTGCCCTTATCATCGTTAGTTTTCTTTTCTAAATTATTTTTTCGTTTAATTACTTTAGCTGAGCTAGTCATTACTCACAGATATTTTTTGTTTTGTTAAATTTTAAACAGACATAACCAGACCGACAAGACTAGATTTGTGGTTAGAACTATAACAAACCGATTTTGGTTTTTATATAGCTGGTTATCTAACAGTTTTACATAATATTAACTTTCTTAAACCTTTACAGATGTTTAGGAGTTTATTACAACGGAGTTTGTTGAAATTTGTCGATTCAACTCAACTCATAACACTCCACACTCGAAACATAACCGCACTCTAATCAACTCTAATCGAATATAAATCTAAAGCACAGAACACACGAACACATCTAAAGTCCGTTCCGCTTTGACTTGGCAGATTAAAAAAACCGTAAACAATGCATTTAGGACAATTCGCGGTGAATCGGTGATGTTTTCAATTACACAGGCCTGTGATTTTTTTTTGCATATCTCATGCAACTAGGTAATCTTTGCTAATTAAAATATCCTAAAAGTTTTTTGTAGATAGATGAAACAAATAAATTAATCTTAAATTAATAATTAAATACGGTACTTCAGAGAAACATATGTACAATACTTGTAGTTAATATGAAACGTAACATAAATTTTATATTACTAGTGTGGTGACCGAATTTAAATCAAAATTTTCGCGCTGAAATTAATTAACAGCGGCGCGAAATCACATTTGAATAATTTGAATTTGAAAGAAAAAAAAAATCAATTACAAAAAGGAAATCGTTAAACATATTCAACCAAATATACACGTAGCTCTTAGGGGTAGTTTTGCATGATTATTGAGTTAGTAGATGACGGCTTAGTATCGCTAGGGAGTTTTTAGTTACAGGGTTGGTTGATTGGTAGAGACAGGGCAGCATGGCGTAAGGTCATTCGGAATGTGCTTGTGTAAGTGTAACCACGTGGTAAGCGCTAGGTTTAAATTAGTTGGTTTGGTAGTTAATAAATTGGGAGGAAGCCTTTGTTTAACGACAATCAATCGTAACTTTCATGATGACACAGTTGTCCCCAACGTGCGCGGTTAATTCTTGCAGCCTTTTAATCGGAAAATGCGGATTTCCGGTCAACGCGAAACACGTGCTGTAAATTTGTTTCATTGTTTGTAAATTCACCAATCAAGTTAGTTTTTGTTAATAGTCAGCTAGTGGAAACACAGTTTAACAATCAGGATTATTTAAATAAACCACTTGCTAGAAGATTTCATGAAATTCATTTAGTCAGGAAAACACCTTATTGTTTAATTACGAGTAAATTTCTGGATGCATGTACGTAAGTGTTACATTATAACACTTCTAAATTCTTCACACAAGATTGCTAATAGTTCATTTACGACAGTTAAACAAGTTCATTATACTGCGAACTGGCGGGAGGGGTTTAAAATGTTTTCTTCCCTTAGGCGGTTATCATCGTTATCATGATTAATTTATCAAGGAATGCCCTCACAACGCTATAGATTGATTAATTTATCAAGGCATGCCCTCACAACGCTACAGATTGATTAATTTATCAAGGCATGCCCTCCCAACGCTACAGATTGATTACATCACCGAGATGCTTTTTCCCTCGGAGCGATGATTGGATATTTTTGTGTTTGTTTATTATGTGTTTTGTTGGGGTAACCAGTTCGCGGTATTTTAAACTCTCAAAGTAAATTGTTTTTTTGAAGTAACCAATCACTTAGATCATGATACAATTTAACATAATGTAAACTCTTTGTTTGAATCGTTGATAAAGTGTGGTAATTATTAATCTCATGTAAAGTTTGTTAACTTTGCAATTCTTCACCTCATACAATATTTCTTTAATCTCAGTAATTTTCCTTTCTCGTATAATTTTAATTGAACGTAAATTTCATGTTCTACAGTTTTAATCTCATCTAATATTTCTATTTGCACGAGTTGATTTCACACCAGATCTTTTGTTTCATAAATCTTTGCTAAGTTTTGTTTTGTAAATATTTTGTTGATGAATGTTACCATCGTATAAATTATCTGATGACAAATTTTAATCTCACCTAAGAATTATTTGTTGTTTAAAATTTCACAAGATTGTATGGCGAATTTAAGTGTTATTTATTGCTCGTTGAAACCTTAACACTTGTTCAGTTGTTGTTAATATCAGAGTTATAAGAGATTGAACATTTAAAAAATGGCATTGAGGTTAAATAACACAGAAAACTTGGCAGAAGCGAAGTGCGGTTCTTAGTCAGGCTGGCGAGATTTATCGTGTCACCTGTACAAGTCCACAGGTTTGGATAGATTCAGTGGCGGCCGCCGATGTTGTAGTGCTCTCGACTTGGCCCAATAGTCGAGATCTATGTGCGGGTGTGGCGACCGTAATGGCCTAGTTTCGCACAGCATGATCGTAATGGAGGTGCGTGCGGGTAGGCTTTGCGATAGATAGAATCACAGTCGTGGGGGGAGAACAGCCCCAGACCGGTAGCCCCAAACTCCGCTTATGCTAGAACGCCCCAGGGGTGCTTTTGTTGTGCTCCTGTTAACTGCCGTAACTTTAAAATCTGCCGCCACACGCCCGTAATAACTTGTGTATTTGCATCCAGTTACTTAATTCAGATTTTGCTTTGTTTTTATTAAATTTGTGATATTCAAATATTTGCATTGATTCCAAACAGATGTATAGAATTTTGTGTTTGTTCGTTTTTCATATGTGTATGTCTGTCGATTGATCCTTTTCCTGTAAGCAAAGTGAGTAGAGATTATATAAATTCCAGTGATACAGAGTGGGACAACATCGCGCAGGCGAAGTCAGATTTTTGGAGCGCCAAGTTAAAATTAACCATGAGCGACAGGTTAGGCATGTGTTTCCGGTTGCATTCTGTCAAAGCGGTTTGTTGTCATAGGCCTTTGCTCTGCTGCCAGAGTGCCAGATACTATTTCCAATGTGGTTTTGAACAGCGGATCGCAACCAATGGGTCGCGACCCAATTTTGGGTCGCGAAACTTTAAAAATGGGTCGCCAATATTTGAAGTGAATCAATGTCGATATACATATATAGTAATATAGTTGTAATTTCAAAAAATAAATGCTCAAATAAAAATAATTTTTATAGTTATAGTTTGTATCTTATAGAAAAATAACAAATTTTAAAGGCTAAAAATTAATTTTATTTGAGATAGACATTTTGTACCGGTCTTGCAGTTTTAAGTAACCCCATACCTCCTAACCCCCACACCCCTCCCTCTATCGTATAGGTCGCCTTATAAATCCTGTTAATATTTTTGGGTCGCTAGACAAAAAAGGTTGCGGACCGCTGGTTTTGAAGATGTGTGCGCACGGAAAGCCACTACGGAAGTTTTTCGATCTTACAGGAAAAGGGTCAATTCGCGAGTGTTTTTTTTTTACATATATCTTAAGGTGTTTGAAATGTAATATGTCCGGGAATATACGATAGGGGGTTTTTGCACTGAGGAGTAAATCTTCGCAGCTTCTTTCCTCCTGCGAGGGGGTGCCGTGGTAGCCCCTCCAAAACAATTTTGTCTATTATTTCTTGCGTTCTCCAATCACACGTAGTGTATGCTCACTTGTATGAAAGAACGTCTTCCCGCCACTTTTCAAAAAAAAAACACAACGTATAGGTTCCCATTTGTTAGACATGGTTAGACCAGAGAACATAGAGAAGCGCCATAGTTTAAATCAAATGACGGTTGAGGACTTCTCAATTTATGTTGGTAGCAGTGTTTATTTCTAACTAGGAATAAAAGTAACTAGAAGAAATGTCATAATATTTTTAACGACGCGTTTTATTTTCGACAAATTGACACTAGATTTACCAGAATATTACAAGCTGCTTACTGTTTCCTTCACTTTCATTCAGGTCACACGAATTACAATTATAGTGAAGCAAGGTTTTTATTGGCATCGACTATTTAAATTTGGCGCTTGCCTTTGGCGGTTGAGGACTCCAATGTCAATAAGGGTGGTTTTGCAAAATCAGCCTCTATGTCACTTCTCTATGTTCTCTGGTTAGACGATCACAGCCAAGGCCAAATTTTGAATTTTTGAATTTTTTCGCGGGCCATTCAAACTTTTTCAAGGTCAATTTAAAGGCGGGAAGTTTGAGTTATCACAACATTTAAATAAAATTAATTTAATTTGAATCTCGAATTAAATCATTTAATTCCTGTTGATTGAAAAGTTGTGGATTAGCGTTCTGTTCAGATAACATCTCTGGATCACCTACTAAACAGATTAAACAAAGCCAGTGCTCGACGAGACATTTGCATTATTTAGCCACCGCAGGAACTTAAATCCGACAATGGACCACCCTTTAATAAATTCGAGTTGAAGAAATTATCTCTCAAGCTGTGCCAAGTCTCAACATCAAGCATCATTTGATAATGCCACTTTGGCCAGAAGCAAACAGCAGAACCGAGAGATTCATCAAAACGTTTAAAAAAGCTGTCTTCAACAGAGAAATCAACAACTTCCTACCCGCCCTCAAAAACAAGACATTTTGTAAATACGACCCTCAAACAGACATCGACAACAGAAGAAAACAAAACATACCCCAATTTTATTTAAATAAAATTAATTCGTAATTATGTTTGTTGCCTGCAGGAGATCATTTAGGGAGTTTCAGCTTTTATGTTTAACACCCTGACCTACACATTGACATTTTGTCATTTTGACAGTTTTCAAATTGAAAAAGTAATTTGCTATCATTTCAAGTCTTCTAGTTCGTTAATTCAAATTCCAAAATTTCAAATAGTATAGCAAAATGAAGGACAAAAAAAAAGACTGTTGTCGCTAGAAATGAAAAATTGCGCTAATTAAATGTATTTAGCGAAGAATTGCAAAATGGCTATCCTGAATCCGAACAATTCTTTTTGCATGATAAACTTGGCAAGATTTTTTCGGTAGGAATTACAAAAATAAATATAATTTCCTGACATTTTCCTCTTTCCCTTCCTTTCCAAGGTTTCCAAAAGTACCGTAAAACGAATTTTAAATCAGCATTAAAAAGGCCAAGATATTTCTGCGTCAGTTCATAAACAACGTGAAAAATGCGACTTTTTTCGAAATTATTGTTGCCCAGAAAGAATTAGAATTTACAAAAGGCCGTACTACTTTGTACAAAATATTAAAATCTATGAGGTATACTACAAGTACAAAACAGTAAATGACCGAAAAATATGAATTGAAAGTAAATTTGTCGTTTCAATCCAAGTGATTGGTTACTTCAAAAAAATCAGTTTACTTTGAGGGTTTAGAATACCGTGAACTGGTTACCCCAACAAGACATAATAAATAAACACAAAAATATCCAGTCATCGTTGCGAGGAAAAAGCGTCTTGGTGATGTAAATTTTAGCGTTGCGAGGAAATACCTCGATGATGTAAATTTTAACGTTGCGAGGAAATACCTCGATGATGTAATCAATCTCTAGCGTTGCGAGGAAACGCCTCAGTGATGTAATCAATCTTTAGCGTCGTGAGGACATGCCAAAGGGAAAAAATTATTTTAACCCCCCTGTCAGTCCACGGTATATGAATTGTGTTAATTTAACTGCTGCAAATGAAATATTAGCAATCTTGTGTGAAGAATTAAGAAGTGCTATAATGTAACACTTACTTATATGCATTCAGAAACTTATTTATAACCTGTTCAACAAAAAATTGTTAGCCTGACTAAGTGAATTTCATGAAATCTTCTAGCATGTGGTTTATTTAAATAATCCTGATTGTTAAATTGTGTTAGCACTAGTTGACGATAAAAAAAACTAACATTGGTGAATTTACAAGCAACAAAACAAATCTAGACCAAGTGGTTAACATTTTTCCGATTAAAAAGCCGCAAGAATTGGTCGCGCGGATTGGGGAAACTGGGCGCCGTCAGCGTTACGATTGATTGTCGTTAAACAAAGGCTTCCTTTTATTAACTACCAAACCAGCTAATTTAAACCTAGCTACTTACAGCGTCGTTTCACCATGCGTCCACTACACCGAACAGAAACATGCCTCTCGTCATGCCGCTAGCCGCTAGCTTGTCTACCACTACCGCCATCCAATAAGCAGAACTACCAACTAGTCCCAAGCGTGAACGTGCATATTTGGTTACCTATGCTTAACGATTTTTTGATTGAATTTTTTTTTCTTTCAAATTCAAATTATTCAAACATGATTTCGCGCCGCTGTTAATTCATTTCAGCGCGAAAATTTTGATTCAAATTCGGTCACCACAAGTTTGTTTACTTACTTTAAAAGTAGAAGCAGTTAAAATATTTAGGCTTCTTTTTGGACGTCTGGAGTCTTGAATACAATAGACTCATAGAATAGGCAGTGACAATAGGCTTAAAACATGACCTTTCACCTTTTGTTATTTTGACATAAATGACATAAATGGCATTATTGTATATCCGTATTTTAGTGACATTACACGATAACAAAATTTTTCAAGACAACATTACAACGCCAAAATATTAAATTATTTGACCTTGAAAAGCTCAATCCATCGTGAATAACATTTATACTTGTCCAAAAGGTATAAGGTTATATGACCATCATAAAAGTAATTGACCGCAAATAAATACCCCCTTTGTGTGGTTTGCACTAAGTTTACCGGTTGGCAATAAATCGTCTTCTAAACAGTTCTTGCTCACATTTAACAGGGCCGGCTTTCAAAGCGAGTGGTTATTTCGGAACCCTCAGCGGCTGCAGGTAGTAAAGAAACAGTGGAGTGGTGGATTTTCATATTTAGTGAAAGCCGCCCCTGAACGAAACCACAACAGCCGGTCGAACTGCAGTGGCACGTTATTTACGACCCTAAAACCTTTTCCATTGTAAACAACTAATCTTCGACACAATGGGATGATTTTATGATGGTCATATAACCTTATAGCTTCTGGTCTACTATACCTATACATATTGACCACAGATGAGAGAATTGATATTGAGTATTTACCCCATTCGCATCACTATTAATATAACTTTTTTTACTCACGTCTTTTGAGGGTAGTTATCAATATTCTATGGCTACCAAGCCAAAGTGACAACAAATGTTCTGTGGTGACAACAAAAACCGGACCTTGCTCTGTGCTGTCAAAATGTTATGCTATCACCAAAAAGTGAGGTTAAATCCCATTCCTTAAAATTAAAAGGTGGCTTGTACTCCACATGGAAGTTTTTCTAGCTGGCTCTCATATTTTTATGTGTAGAATGTTGTAGATTTCTATAACATACAAATGGGAAGTATACAAACCATCAATCGAAATTCTAAAGCGATAAGTTGACTAAATTATATCCAGGGCAACGTTTTAAATATACAGATTTAATAAAGACGAAAGAACTATGAACTCTGAAAGCAGGTGATTCCAATAAATATTTTCGTATATACGTTACAGTGCACATTTTTGATAAAAATATAAAGTGAACAACCTGTGGAAACCATTAGGTATATCAAAGATTACTCTTGCTTTTAGACAACTGTTTATTAGCTGTTGAAGTTTTACGAGTTGTTACAGTTGGCCATTGATACAGGAAAATGTTCACTGTAATATTCATAAAATTTGTATTGGTAATGTTTCTGTATAATTCTTTCTTGATAGTACGTTAAAAAATACTTCGCCCTTTCATGAAATTATTGAGGATATCGAAGATCTTATTTCATCACAAGATATAACACCAAAGGAGAGATATAGTTCTCGTAAGAATGTAAAAATTAAAGCAAAAAGAAAGGTATGTTTGTCATTTTGTATCAACAGCATAAGTTAATATTTGCAAATTTAGGAGCAAAATGTAACAAACTTGGAACCAGTAAATGGAGAAAATATTCCCGGAACACAAACAATTTACATAAAGACATGGGGTTGTGCGCACAATAGTTCTGACACTGAATATATGGCAGGTCAGCTTGCTGCATATGGGTACAAATTAACAGACCATAAAAAGGAAGCAAATCTTTGGTTATTAAACAGCTGCACTGTAAAAAATCCAGCTGAAGATCATTTTAGGTAAATATATCATAGAAAATTGACATATTCATAATTCATGCTGCTTTTAGAAATCAGGTAGAGGAAGCTAAGCGTGAAGGAAAATACATTGTTGTAGCAGGATGTGTTCCACAAGGTGCTCCTAAAGCTTCTTTTATACAAGGACTTAGTATTATAGGCGTGCAACAGATTGATCGCGTAGTAGAAGTTGTTGAAGAAACTTTGAAGGGAAATACTGTCAAACTGCTTGGAACAAAGAAAGAACATGGGAAGAAAGTGGGAGGAGCTTCACTATTGTTACCAAAAGTTAGAAGAAATCCATTGATAGAAATCATAGCAATAAACACAGGTTGCTTAAATCAGTGTACTTACTGCAAAACAAAACATGCTAGAGGTGAACTTGGAAGTTATCCACCTGAAGAAATAGTAGAAAGAGCCAAACAAGCATTTGAAGAGGGCGTTGTAGAAATTTGGTTGACATCTGAAGATACTGGTGAGCAAATATAAACTAAAATTTAAAAAAAAAAACTTTTCCCATTAAACTTATTACCGAGAATGGTCGAAATACTGCCTGTTAATAACCAATGGTAGAATTAAATTTGAAACACATTTACATCTAATAGACACTTATTTAAAGCCATTATATTTTTATTTGTAAGGTGATAAATTTTGTTGCTTTTGGTTAACTGATAATGTTAATACAGGTTCTTAATTATTTGTTTTTTACATTGTGCTGACTTGATATTTCTTTTAAATTATATCGCGATCTTTTTACACCAAAATATGCCCTATTAAATTACCTTTTAAACTTTAATCTGTATTTTTTACATTAAAAACCTTTAGACAAGATGCCACGTGGTACATAGTTATTTCTACAATAACTTTCTAAACATCAGTAGTTTATTTTTTTAATAAAACAAAAACTCCAGCGGTAAAAATGGTTTTATGCTAACATTAAAGAGATAAAAAAAAATAGCATTGTTAAGTGAAATTATGTAATATTTAAGAAAACAAAATCATTTTTAGGTACATATGGACGAGATATAGGAAGTTCATTACCAGAACTATTATGGAAATTGGTGGAAGTAATCCCAAAGGGTTGTCGACTAAGGCTAGGGATGACAAATCCACCATACATACTAGAACATTTAGCAGAAATAGCTAAAATCATGAATCATCCTCGAGTATACAGCTTCCTCCATGTACCTGTTCAGTCAGGAAGTGATCAAGTTCTTTCTGACATGAAACGAGAATATTTCAGAAAAGATTTTGAACATGTAGTGGATTTTCTGCGATCTCAAATTTCTGGTATGACAATTGCCACAGATATAATTTGTGGATTTCCAACAGAAACGGAAGACGATTTTGAAGAAACAATGTTTCTTTGTGAAAAATATAAATTTCCTAGTCTATTCATTAACCAGTTTTTTCCAAGACCTGGTACGCCAGCTGCATTACTTCCCAGGATAGCAGCTCAGGAAGTAAAACGTAGAACAAAAAGACTTACTGACCTGTTTTACACATACCAACCATATGAAGGCAGAGTTGGTGAAACCTACGAAATCTTAGTTACTGAAGTGTCTCATGATAAGTGTTATTTTGTGGGTCATAATAAATTTTATGAACAAGTATTAATTCCTAAGGAACAAAAATACATGGGTCAGCTGGTAACTGTGAAAATTCTTAGTGCTAGTAAATTTTCAATGATTGGGGAACCAATAGACAAAATAATGCCAGGTTTAACAAAACCATTACAGCAGGGACAGGTTTCTGGAATCAAAATAGAAAAACCAGAGGACATAAGAGTTTTGATAACTTTGTTGATTTTAGGAGTATCAATTATTTTCAGATTTTTATGGATGATTCTGTAATATAAATATGTACGTTCATGTGTTTCATTTGAATAATTAAGATATGTAAGTTATTATGAAATCTTGGTAAAATAAAATAACATTGACATTATTGTTAGCATTTTATTCATCACATACTAACTTTGAAAAGATAACGTTGATAAATTTTACGTTCAGAATTGATATGGAATTGAAGGCTTTCATGACTAGAGTAAATAAATAATTTCCAAGTATAGATTGTATAAATTTTGAGAAGAGTTAGCGTTTCACACCCAGTTTCGAAATCGAAAATTCAGGAGGAAGAGATTTACTTCCAATATCGTTCTCTTCTGTCCCTAACTGTTTATTCTTCTCCCAGAAATGGATTGAGGTAAAGAATTCAGTGTCCAGTTGATTTGTTCAAATGTGTTTTCAAAATTGTTGTAACAATGCGACAATTTCGCGATTATCGTTGCTATTGCTACATTGATCATTGTTACGAAAATTGTAAATTACTTGATCAAAGGTAAAAGGATCACAAAATATAGGCTGGAAATATGGAGTAAAGATACCTACATACATATATTTATTCATTCGTTCATGGTTGGAAAATTGCTAGAAAATAGTAATCTGACTATAATATTATTTTCGATGATGTGATAATTAATACATATAACTCATACATTTCGCCAAAACTAAGAGATGTGCACAAACATTTGAAAAACCTGCAAAAAGTATGAAATTAGCTATATACGTGGGGGACAGGGATAAGGGTAGCGCTCTTTTAATTTAGTTCAGATCTGCTCTTTTGTAAAATTTAACTAACAAAATAAAACGTACTATTCTAGTTTTAAAATACAAATAATCTCGGGCACCACACACTGGAGAGTTAAGTCTTTTCGTTTTGACTAAAATCTATCTGCTTGTCGAGTCGTCGAGTGAGGAACTGGGTTCCCAGTCCCACTACCAACTCTAAATTTAGAGAAAGACCCATCGCAACATTAAGGATCGTTTACATTACTAAAATGATTTTCTCTTTTAAAGGTGGTTTCGCGCTTTTTTTGTGGCGCTAAATTTAATTTCGAAGCGGGACACCACATTAAGATGAATCTTATTCTTTATGAATTGAACGTACGATAATTTCGGCCAATTATGATTTTCTAATTTGAATCACTGAGGCTGTCCAAAATAATAATTTGATATTTTAGTAAAATTTTAGTAGTATTTAAGTGCGAATTAAAAATTTGCAAACGTTATTTATCTTCAGTAAACAAAGTGTAATTTCAAAATTGTTACACCCTTGGCGTTAAACAGAATATCAAAAGTAATCAGATAATGATGACGTCGTAAATGTTCCATGGTTCTATCACAAAACGTCGCTAAAAAATGACTAACATATTTTGGAGTGACAAAAAATGACATTTGACAGGCCCACAAAAGAAAAATTGACGTTTATTTATTTTGAGTGTTAACAATAATGGCTGATGCTAATGAAATACCAAATAATACTCGAAAAAACTCTCAAACTGGCGTGAACAATGAAGAGTCTGACTCTGAAGATCCTATTCAGCCTGTTCTTTTGGACTTGGGCGATGATTTAAGTCATTTAACAGATTCAAATAGGTTAGGATTTCAAAGTGCAGGAGCTTCAGGTATTTTTTTACTTTTAGCTTTGCAAACGGTGATAATGCTAGATTTTTTTGTAGGTGTTAACGACCCCCCAAAGCGTGAAGACAACCCATTTTCTTTTAAACATTTTATACGTAGTGATATAAGTTGCTACCAGAATAAAGGAGCTCGTCCTAAGGTATACTGTGAAGGACGGCCGATTTCATCAGTGTCAGATTTGGAATTTCCTTCACAACAGGAAGCTAAACAGACAAGAGTTGGTCCTGAATATTCATCTGCCTTACCTGACTTTGTTCAAGACCACTTAGTAGTAGAACAGTGCTATTTGGGAAATTCGGCGAATAGCGGTTTTAATTTGGATATAAATCTGCCTGATTTTACCCCAAGTAGAGATACAGTTAATATTAATAGAATAAATATTGATTCTAGTCATAGTGTTAATCGAAGATGTGATAGTAATAATGACTTATCGATTCCTTTGGATTTACCAGTAAGACCCCCTTCTGGCTTTCCATTAGATTTGCCAGTAACTTGCCCTCAGAATAATGCTCGAAATTGTATAAACAGTGAGGTAGGTGATAATTTTCAGTTGTAAAAATTTTACAAATCGTGATTTTTTTTTTAGGTTGGAGTGTCAAAAAGTCTGCCTGATTTTTTAGCTGATGGTGCAGTACGAACCCAAGATCCAGTTGGACCACCTGCTGAAAGTCCAGAAAGGGAATGTGAGAGGTTGCGGCGAGAATTAGAAACTGTTAGAGGACAGTTAGCGGAACAAACACGTCGCGTTGAAAGTTTGACTGAAGAATTAGAGAAAACTAGAAATAAAGAACATGATTATACTCAGAATTTAACCAAGGCTTTGGAACAAGTGGAGAAAAATTTAGAAAAAAGCAATGTATGGCTTAATGTTATACATATACATTTTTCATTTTTTATTTTAGATGAGAACAGCTACCGCTGAGAATACTATTGTGACACTGAAGCAGGAGCTCAAAGCCCTTTCTGTAAATTGTCAGTAGCATCATTTTTCAACTAAACTGATTTTATTTTTCAGAGTGAACTAAACAGTTTAAAGTCAGAAAATTCAACACTGAAAGGTGAAGAAGGTGCAGCAGGTGGAGGAAGTGATACCAACACTCCAAATGAATTGCATGCACAAAGATTAGCTCAAGAACTAAAAGCTGCAGCGAGTACTGCAGAACATTCACTAAGGTTGATCTGATGTCTGTCATATTATTAAATACATTGATCAATTTTTTTCAGGCAATTGCTGACAGGCGTTGATAACCTTAGAATAATGGCAGCTACTTTGGAAAACATGCATCGTATAGAAGAAAAAAGAGAGACTTTCTTAGATTTAGATGAAGATACAGGGCCAGCATTGTAATACCCATTAAAAAGGATGAAAACAACTGAATTTTTGATATTGTACATAGATCTATGTAGTTTAATTTATTATGTGTAGTAGCTAGGTCGTAGTTTTTTCATTAATGTGATTTTTTTATCTACTGATGGTTATTTTGATATTAACAGCAAACAAAACATGTAAACGTCATCTACTCGAAATTCATAGAATGTTGTTTCATTGTATTATTATACCCACTACTTACAAACCCCTGTTGAATATCTGTTGATGTTGTAACAAACGTCTTGTTTTATAATCACAATAAACATTTTATCATTTTAAAATGTTGAACAAGTTTTAATGGACATAGTGGTTTTGCTTAATTTTTCTTTTAAAAAAGGGAGAAAACAAAGATTTGTTACATAAGTAGATTAGTTTCTACGATACATTTTCAGAATTTAGTCTACCAGTACTAACATAAACGTAAAAAATCCAAATTTGGCAAAAATATTGCAACATTTTCTAATAATTACAAGAAAGACGTAACTTCATAGTCAGGCGTTTATTTCTTCAAGCATTTGCTGAAAAATGGCATCAGTTTGAGTTTCCATATGAGTCATCATATCTGTAGACCGCAACGACGTCATTTGCGATTGAGACATAATGGTTTGACTTTCGACAGACTTGAGAACATCATCAAAAACGGTTTGTGTATGAGTATTATTTAGTCCTATTTCTCCCAGTAACAGATCGTCACACGTTTGTGTATGCATGTTTGTGTAATCATCACAATATTTGAACAATTCATCATTGAAAATAAAATCTGTTTGAGTTTCTGAATTGCAGTTAAAGAAATTTGAATCAAATATTTCTTTAAACAGATCTGATGTATCAGTGTGGACGGAATCATGAGTACTTGTCGAAGAATATATTCGTTCTGGTTCCTTCAAAATAGTGGTTTGGGTCCCAGAGGAATTGCGTTGAACCTCATTGATAATATTAAGTTTACATTCATCCAACGCAAACGACGTATTGCACGATGCAGTTTTTGGGTCTGCAATAATAGTTTGAGTTTTGGCACTCTTCAGATTATTATTAAAAGCTTCCGACTTCTTTGTGAAGTAATCACCAATAGTTTGCGTTTCCACAGTAAAATGTGGCATTCTGTATGCAAGAAGTGTTTGTGTTTCTTGGCTATTTCGATTTGACTTTTCAGTTTGACAACTTTGGTCTGAGGTACCTGTAATCACAATCATCCCCGCACTGCTTGATGGCTTTGGAAGAATCATTCTTACTTTATTAACTGAAAGAGATTCATCACTTTTTCTAGTCTTTAAAGGAGAGTTTGCTGTTGGCGTTTTATAAGCAACTTTATCAAGTATATTATGTTTCTTACGCCTACTGTGCGTCTTTAGCGTTTCATAGCAATCATAAAATACATCACAGTCACAACACTTAAAAACCACATTGCAGTATTCTATGTGTCTACTGCAGGCTGATTCTGTAGGAAAGCCTTTTTGACAAAAGCTGCACACAAAACTTTTCTCCGAGTGTACCTTGAGGTAGTGTTGTTTCAAAAATTTCAACTTTTTGAAATGGGCTGAACTGTTATAACTACATGTTTCAACAGGACAGTGGTAAACCTTGTTATTGTTTGCTTGCAAAAGATGCCCTTTCTTATGAGTCTTGGCTAAATGCAAGTTTAAATGTGATTCTGAAGTGAATACGGCACAACATTCTGGACAACTCTGATTCTTGTTCACTTTACTTAGCTCTTCAACAGTGGGGTACACCTTTTCAATAGAATCCATATTTCCAAATCTGCAAGTTAAATAATTTAAACATAACCTAACATTTTCTAATGTAAAGACAATTTTTACCATGCAAATTACACAACTTCTTGAAAAATTGAAAATTTTGTGTTTTAATCAAAAGACAACAAAAATTTTTCAATAACAACTGTTTAGAACAACTAATCAAAATTCTCCGCCTACCCAACAACTTCTAAAAAACTTAAAATGTCACACACAAAAAAGTCACAATGTCTACGTTGTCATGTTGTTGCATTTTTGTCGTTTACGGCCGTTTGTACTCTCGTTTCCAAAATTTTGTCAGTATGCAGAAATCAACTTTATTGCAACATAAATTTCAGTGAAATGTACATTCAATGTTCTGGAAAATACACCGTCTTTTTTGATACTAAAAAATATAGAAATTTTAGCACTGCTTTTTGACAAGAAGGTTTGAGAAAATACAACGAGAATTATGTTAATTCTTAAAATATATTTTCAGAATCTGACTGAAATGATCATAGAACAGGCTACATGCATTTACATACTTGTATTATCATTTGGCAAATTAATATCAAATGTGGTGGGACAACTTTTAGCGGTAAGTCTTAGCAATTTGGGCTTTTATTTCTTAGTAAATAATAAGTTAATTATTATGTATGCTATAACTCTTTTTGCAATCCAAAATTAAAACCATTATATTCCTGCATCGATGATAATTTTGAAAAATAAATTTAAAATGAATGGTTTTAAAAATTACCACTAGTTCGCGTTGTAATCAATTTCTTTTGTCATTTGACGTTTTTTCTTACGTCACGAGTGACAGATCGCGTACTTTTGTTAACTTATTATTGTGCCAGTTTTTGACAGACGATGTCGATGGTGGTGTTCGATCATGAGTGTGTGCAGCTGAATATAGTAGATTCGTGTCAGTATCTTCGTTTTGAATTAAAATGTAACAAGTGTTTATAAATCGTCACAGTTTAGAATTAGTTAATAAGTGAAGTTTATTGCCGAAGCATGAAAAAATCACTATCCAATACGAAATATGAAAAACTATCTCAGAATTCTTGTAAAGATCTAGATGAAAATTTCTTGCACTCGCCGTCGAATACGGTAAGAACTACATTGTTAATTCATTTATAAAGAATATATTTGCTTGCAAAGGCAGTAGCTAGCGTATATCTTATAAACTGTATTAAAAAATTTGGAACAATTGTCCGATCGATAACGTACCGCATTATGTAGCTATTTACCTAAACAATCTAATTAAGACGGATATACTAACAATTTTTAGTCACAGAGCTTTAGGTTTTACCCGTACGACGAATATCTTAACAATACTTGTGTAATTTTCAACGCACCACTAGACTGTAAATGAGATATCACACGTTTAAAATATTACCTCGCAGTTTCCTTAAAAGTCCCAAGCCTTAAAACATGTAAAATGAATATTATTTACGACAGTTGATTTTTTTTAACCAGTGCTGCGAGAATGAGACAATATATTGATTTCTTTCATATTTAATAAATAAATCACTTGCAAACTCTAGCCTCTGTCATATAAAAGTGTCAACTATTATTGCTAAATTTGTTGTTGTTGTTGAGTATATTTTCTTATGGCATTTTATTGGGCATATATAATGTGTAAAAATATTTTGGTGTGAAAAAATCAATAAAGCGTTCTCAATCAATACTATAATGATGCATCATCATCTGGCCACAAATCATGCCATTTGTTGACACTGAGTCATTTAATCTTTTTGCACGGATTTTATTTCCAATTTTCATCCTCCACTTAAAGGTTAGTTTGGTGCGATTGTAACTAATCCCACATTTAATACAAACAATAACCATTTTGATAAATTATGGTGACGTACTACATTAACGAGAACTGTTTAAATTATATATGAATTGAAAGTGACTTTTTTAAGATTCGAGCAGTTCTGTTACAGATTTAAGTAGTCAACATTTCCTGTGGTGCAAATATTGGCATTCAACCAACTAAAACAAGAAGCTTCAAAAAATATTTGCTGTCATAATGCTACATGGTCGAAAAAGACCTCTAGTAGACCATGAAATTTAAATTAAAATAATTAGGTTGGTAACACGAATATTTTCCCTGTTCGGTGTGACATTTGTGACGGACTGACAGTTATGTACCATATGATTGAAATAAAAATTCCTCTAGTAGGTCGTGCAATTTATTTTTAAAATAATCATGTTAACAATACCCATTGATACCTTTTTCAGTTTGATAACTCCGGTCAAATATTTGTCAAATAAAGGGTCAAACAGCTGCAACGTCATTATTTTAAAAATAAATTGCACGGCCTAACAGAGGAATTTTTTTTTTCGGTCGTATGGTATTATGACGAAATAAGAGATGTTTAGATTTTTCTCGGGTCCCAACACAATGGAATAACGGCAAATTCCTGATATTTTATTTGCAATTCCAGGTGCCCGTTTATTTTGTTATTTCTGTAATCTCAAACACGAGGCATGCGACCTTAAACTGCTTTTTCATTTTACCTTTGAAATATTTTTGTTGTTTACACTGTTTTTCTGCAGTTACGTTTTTTAAGAATATGTAGTAAAAGTAAACCGTTTGTTGCCTTGGTAGTATGTATACGTATGTGTGTATATATACTGTTTCAATCTGTAGCAAATATATATGTCCCTATGTATGTAGTTGGACAAAATAGGGAATAAATTTGATAAAAAAACGAAACACACCTTTAACAAAAAAATGTAAATATGTTTTTACCCAAAAATAAAAAAATATGTTATTGAATCGTAAATCATTTGATAAACCGTTTGAAATGTTGTAGAACATTTGACAATTTTTTTTATTCATTTTTTAAGCATATTGTGTTAACCCAAACATACCGTCAAATTGGGACATGTACTTGTATAAAATTATTATCAAACCCGCGAAAAATTCAAAATTTGGTCTTGAACTGTGACCGCCAACAAAATAGAATCCTACGTTGTGTGTGTATTTTTTTAATGGCGGAATGCGTTCAAATGTAAAGTGGTGGACCCAAGGTTGGAAAAGTGACCTTAAATCACAATGCAAAATATGGAGGGCAAATTGTTTATTTCACCTTTCTGGAGAGAGGAAAACTGAAATAGGCGGATTTATTTCCCAGCTGCAAAAGAACCTCTTCAGCTTTCAAAAATGAAATCAAATGTTACAAATCGATCCAAAGATTTGAACATTACAAATTTAAACACACAAAGAAAAAATAAATCGTCACTAAAGTAACTGGGTGGTAATATACAAGTCATTACGATGGTGTGGCAGATATAACCACTAGCTACATACGCAACGTGTGATTAACACTCGCATTCCTTAGTCTTACTTCCAACACTGCGGCCTGATTCCCTGGCGGTGAAAATTCGGTATTGCAGATAAACATTCACATGAATAATGACAGTGAGGAAAAAACTCTACAATTCTGTGTCGACCACGCGATCCCGTACATTTATTTGGGTTACAGTTTTTTTAGTATTTTAATTTATGTAAACTGGACAAACTACAAAAAATTAAATACTTTTTGTGGTAACATAGCCAAATTTTAATTTCAAGTGTATAGCTAGTGGGAGTGATAATATTTTTTAATATACGAATAATTTTTGTAATTATTGTTCATTAACATACATGTTTGATTTGTGGTAATTAAGTCATAAAATTAATAAAAAAAAAAGTAAAAAAAGAAAAGTAAGATTTGTTTCGCACATTAAAGGTTTTAATAAGTCAGATTGTGATATTAAACAACAATTTTAGTTCATTTTGTAGAACAATTGCGTTATCTAGGAATTCTGTCATTGGTAAAATTCTTAAAGACGATAGGGATGTTTTACCTTGTAGGTCAATATTGAAGGGATTGAAAAGACGACTTCGTGAAACACAACACGATCTGTATTACATACACTCACCGGCAAAAAAATCGAATCATTAGTATTTTTGTAGAAATCTTCAATAAATTCTGGTGTGCGTCACATTTATAAGACAAATTAGTTTATCTAGGACAAAGGAGATGAGAAGGTAACGGGACCTTCGCTGAAGTTGCAACAATTACGAGTTTATTAAAAAATACCAGAAAATCCATTACATTAAACCAACAAAAGACTACTTAACATATCATTATTAACGACTGTTGCCGCCTCTAGCTTGCATTACGGTTGCCATACGTCTTCCCATGCCTTCTATGAGGTGCCTACTCTCAGCCTGGGCTAATTGGTCAAATTCTTCAACTAGCGCATTTGCAAGATCTCTTATGTGTTGTATGGCCGGCACACGTGCTCTGATACGTCTACCTAACATGTCCCACACATGCTCAATTGGATTCAGGTCGGGACTGCGTGCTGGTCATTCCATACGTGAAATCCCGAATTCGTCGAGGTAGGTTTGTACAACTCTAGCGATATGTGGTCTAGCATTATCATGCATTAGAATAAAATTATCGCCAATAAAAGGAGCAAAAGGTACGACATGCTCTTGAAGAATATTTGCTACATATCGATCAGCATTCATTGTGCCTCTATCCACCACTACAAGTTCCGTGCGAGCCTCGGCAGAAATTCCTGCCCAGACCATCACAGAACCTCCATGAAAACTTAGTCTGGAAACAATATTGCACTGAGCCTACCTTTCACCTCTTCTTCGCCATACTCTTTGACGGCCGTCAGGAGAACGTAGACAAAAACGCGACTCATTTGTAAAGAGTACTTGGCCCCATTGGGCAAGATCCGAGTTAACGTGTTCTCGAGCATATGCAAGTCGGGCTACTCTATGGCGTGGGAGAAGTTCTGGGCCACTTGCAGGTCTACGGGCTCTCAATTCAGCTGCAGTTAACCTTTTTCTTACAGTTCGTTCACTTACACTAACTCCTCGTGTTTCTTCAAGTTGATTTCTGGCCTCAACTGCGGTCGTATCCCTATTACGGAACACGGTCAGCGTTAAAAAACAAGTCATCCCGAGCCGATGTTTTCTTTGGACGACCCGAATCAGGTCTTCGGCTGTATGATCCAGTCTCATTAAACCGTCGTACAGTTCTGTGAATGCTCACTTGTGATACCCCTAACGTATTGGCAACGTACCGTTAACTTCGACCATCCTGAATAAGAGCAATTGCTCGTGCTGCATTAATGGCCACAATACTCATGTTAATTGACAAAAACACAGTTTTCATCAAATTACAATGACAAACAGTCTGTTAATGCCCTCTAAACGTCACAACTGCAAATCTCATTGTTGGAAAAAACTTATCATCTTCAGATTTGAGGTTCATATCATGTACAAAAAAGAACCAAAAACCTAGTATTAGTATATTTTGTATGATTTTTTCAAAACTGATATTGACTGTAGCCAAACATTTAAAAAAGGAACCATTTTCAATACAAACTTTGGGTGATTCGCTTTTTTTGCCGGTGAGTGTACATTTTGAATGCTCTGATCGTCTAGATATTCATGTTTTGGTATTTGGGTTTTTAAGTGTTTTTATTTTGTAAAATTGCTATAAAATTTTAATAAAAAATTTAAAAAGTGATAAAAACTGCAACAACGTTATATGTACTTTGAATTTAATGTAGATACCTTGGCTAGATATAATGGATTTGTGATTTGTATTGGAATTTATTTATTTATTATTATTATTACAAAATCTAACCATCTCAATCAACAGCGTAGTCATAATTAATCTGTCTGTTTTTGGTAAATTGATATGTATTGTTATAACTTATAAATATACAACAAATCACTTTTCTCGTCTAATATTAATCACATTGAAAATATTTTAATGTCCATATTATTGACAATTTTGCAGACAGTTCCTGTGCTTATTCTTGGTTTATTTCGTGTTTTTGTTATTCTCAATATGGGGTGATTTTTAAAATTTCTGTTCTAGTTAGCCATGACTCTTACGTCAACCGTTTCAATTGCCTGCTGACGTATGCATCATGGCCAACTAGAGCAGAAATCTAAAAAAATCACACGATATAGTTTTTTCAAACTACCACCCGACAGTGGAGATCATAAAAATTAAGCAACAAAGACGCCTTAATCGGATTATAACGGACCGAAAATTATGACTCCACCTCTTTTAGGCGGT